AGGGTTGCCAAACAGAAGGCTAATGCCTTTAGATGTCAGTATGAAATAAGCAAATCACTTTTCAAGACACTGCTTACTATCCGCTTTGCAGTCAGGACAACAGAAAAAGAACTGGACTGCTGCCCTAGAACTTAGCTCACACATAATTCAGCCAGACAATCATTGTTTCAATCACCCCTAAATTTTGTTAAAACACTTCCCCCCCCCCCACCGACAGCTCTAAAAACATAACATCAAACATTTGCTCGGAAGGACTAAAAATCAAAATCAATTGCAGTGTATTTGGAACAGCTTTTACGGCTTTCCTGAGGGACAGTTCCTATCTCTTCAGAGAATGTTTTTAAAGAAGCACTAACTCTGGTAGCTTATCAAACTACTCTTTATTCTAAATAAATAAGACCAACTGAAGGTCTCAGGTGTACTTCTTCCACACACACCCCCTCCCCCAGGTCTCCAAACCATCCAAAGCCATTTCTTGACAGAGAGCTTTCATTTTTATTAGAGGAGTGCAAGAGAACTTACAAACATTTGAAAAATACTCGAAACACTGACAGTAAAGGAGGCCCAACCCTTCCTCAGAGCCCAGAAAACTGTGACAGGAACCCCAAAGGCTTATCTTAAATCCATCAACTCAATTTGCCAGAAAGTCATGACAGACCACTCACCGTTGCCACACAGGCCTAGATGGGATTTTCTTTCTTTACAATCACTAAGAAAAGCCTTCTGGGAGTTACTGCCCAGAAGAACACAGGCTGATGAACAGAAGCTACTGAAAAGGGGTCGACTGCATTCTATATCTGGCACAGGAAAAGGAAAATTAAAACATCTGGAAACCATTATATTTATACCATGATACTCTTAGGTGAATCTTTACCTTCCCTCAGCAACCATTTCTTTCATAAAAAATACACAAAGGCTTAGAAAGCTTTGGGGCAGCACCAGTGACAGCTAGCTGTCTTTCAATAATTTTAATTTTTTCCTAAAGGCAAAATTAAGAGAAACTTAAAGAAGTAATTTACAGAACAGATTCTATTTCATGGTTTTGCCCATGTCAGCTGCTATGGAAACAGTACAAACAGAAATACAAATAGCCACTCTACATCAAGTTAGGTTTCCATTTTTTCTCAAGGGATAGAAGCAGTACACCTAGGTTTCTGTAAGCCTTCTGAGGATGAAGGGCAGCTCATAGCTCATGACCTGACAATCTCTAAAAGTACTCCTGGACTATTTCACCATGAGGATAGGTAAAGCCCTTCTTCATTCGCTAACGACTCTAGCAAGGATTCTATGCACCTAGACTTTAACGCTAATGGTTTCTAGGCTTTCTGACTTGACATGCGCCATGCACGGAGAGCAAGGAACCAACTAGTCCAAGGCCACCTGCCTTAGACACTGATAACTCCAGCTAACCATCGGACAAACGGCCCACTTGTTGTAAATGGTCTCTCAGAGGAAGCAGAAATACTTCCCAAATACTAGCACAAACAACCTAAAGTACAGTCTCTCCTAGTGGTGAAGCAGTAGAACCATCTCTGTGTAGAAAGAATGGCTCATGAAATCGTTCTGGGGGTGCAGCCACACCTTCCATTTCTTGATCCCTTGTTACTTCCTAACAAAGCTGTATACTCCTGAGAAGACCTCAACAAGTGTACAGGTCTGCCCTGTGAACTGCCCTGAAAACACACTGCCATGTCTACAGATTACTTTGAAGAATCAAAGTTGAATGTTCAAAAATAAGTACTAGTGTCTCAAGCCCAAATCCCTAGAGAATACCAGAAGCCAGTTTTGCTGTATTTTGGCTGCTTAGGACCCCCTCGACGAGTTGATGGGGGGCCTCCAGAAATCTACCATTCTGGCTGTTACCTTCCCCTTTTCTTTTCTTGCCTTCTGAGGAAGACTTCAGCTATTTCCATAGCAACTTATTTAAATGTCCTAGATGACCACATTTTTGAGCAGCATATACATTTTTAGGACATATTTTTCATTCCTTTTGAACAATTTCTCCCATAATAAAAAGCAATAATTTAAAAAAATTACTTCTCTAAAAATATGGTTATCATGCTTTGTACACAACAGCACATTTACTAGATAATACTCATTCCAGAATCGCTGTCCAAACCAAACAAATAAATGGGGGTATATGGGCACATAAGACAGATGACACACAGTTTTGTTTTTTTTTGTTTTTTTGCGGTACGCGGGCCTCTCACTGCTGTGGCCTCTCCCGTTGCGGAGCACAGGCTCTGGACACGCAGGCTCAGCGGCCATGGCTCACGGGCCCAGCGGCTCCGCGGCATGTGGGATCTTCCCAGACAGGAGCACGAACCTGTGTCCCCTGCATCGGCAAGCGGACTCTCAACCACTGCGCCACCAGGGAAGCCCGACACACAGTTTTAAAATAATTTTCAGATCCAGAATTGGTAACTTGGGCAGAAAAGCTGTAAATCAATCCTTATATGGATACATGAAAATTAAATGCAAACTAGAAAACGAGCATGTGTTTAAAATAAATCAGGTTCGATTTAATCAGGCACTACAATGAATGGAAATTGATTATATTCCTTTTGATTCCAAATTTCCACTTTATTGGGAAAACCTAGTAACCATTACAGCTTCTAGCTGAGGGACAAGAGGACAGACAGATGGCGACTGCCAAACAGGGAGGACTGGTAAAGAGGTAGAGGCAGGGGTGCCTGATGACTAAACAAGACAACTACTAATTGGGGAGCTGAGACTTTAGACATACTGTTTAGAAGAGATTTAGACTGGCAGATTCCAAAGATAATTGTTCACGAGCGTTTGTAACCTAGAACTTCTCTAAATGTTTAGTGCACCTTATCTGGCTCTAAAGAGTATATTTAAAATGCATTTTGAAACAAAATCAAATAAACAAAACAAAACAACTTCCACAGATGCCCCTTTGGGGATGCGTTGTTTTTAGGTGCGCATCCTTCCTTCGGTGCTGTCATATAAACCCCTCAGAAAGTGCAGTGGAATTCCCTCTCATCCTGACCAGAAGAGGGTGGGGGCTGGGATACGGGGGGGGGGGCAGCAACGAAATGCCCCTCTTCCTTTACTGAAGATACTCTTCTGAACACTTCCATTGTCCCTTAGGAGGAAGCAACGGAACATGGAAAACAGTTCCTGAAGATATCACTGCTTTTTGATAACAAGATCGTAACTGTGACACCTATGGAGATTACTCTCTGATATTATATAGCACCTACCTTGCTCATGAAACACTGAACTTTTACCAAGCTATGAAACAGGGTGAGTAAAAATCACTCATGGCACTTACACGTGTTAAAAGACTTTAAAATGCCTTCCCCAAATTCTTTTACTCAGTGCCCCTGTGAGGTAGGTGTCTGGTGGGAAAAAACTGAGGCACAGAGGGGTTAGTCTGCTCTCCTCTCAACATGATGAGCCAGAGTCCCAGCTCCTTGAACTTGATTCACCAGCTTCTCAGAAGGCTTATTTAAGTAACACGACAAATACAGCAGAGGAAGCTTTTCTTTTCAAACGTTTTAACTAGTTAGCTATTTATCATTCTCACCTTGAACCTAAGTTATCTAAAATAAAACCAAATAATGTATAAACTAACAAAACAAAAGGTCAACATTGCCTAACAGTCTGTGTCAAGATATAGCCTATTTTGCACTGGTGATTGGAAAACCATATGGTTCAAGTAGAAGTAGTAGCAGGTGGTCTAGTGTTCCTGTTACTCAAGCCAGGCTGAGTAAAGTGTCCCTTACAGACACCACCGCTGTACTTTGTGAGAACCTCTTTGGCCTGAAACAAGGGAATAAAACTCCACCCCTGTTTCATGGAAACCATCCTAAAAGATACTCTAGACAGGGGCCAGCCCTGCCTGGAAAGAGTACTCTCGGCCACATGATGAGTGTGCATTATTGAGTCCACGCAGAACTCTTTGAAGCCAGACATGAAGGTCACAGTCTCCTGACATAAAGCTCACAGGACAGGTCACACTATATACAGAGGGGCAATACGCAGGGTACATGCACTAGCACCATGCCACAGAAGTGAAAGAGAAGGACAAGAGCATCTTATAGTCCCATCTGGTACACCATCTGCAGAAGCTATCTCTGGCAAGAGGAAGACCAACAACGAGGTCCCATATTTCTTTCCATAAAGTGGAGAGGCATAAAAACACAGCATTCATTGCTAGATGCTTTGAGAGTACCACCTACCCAAATTTCACTCTTACATAAATTGGTGGGCTTCTTATATCTTATAGATATTAAAAGATAACAAATTACATTTCTTGATCAAGAGAGAATGGTGTAGAGCAAAATTCAAAGGTCAGTTACAAGATGTGGGTTCAGGGCTCAGGGTGATTTATACTGCTACTCTTAGAAACAAATTTATGAGTACTCAGGGCACTAGCTTTTAGAAATGAGATCATTCTTTTTGAGGTGTTTTTTTCCTTCACTGTGCTATAGTGTCTGTGGAGTGAATTCAATTCATACCATGCTCCCTAATTCAAATCTAGTATTTGGTTTGAGTGTCTGAAGTAGACCACGATACCAAATAAGATGCATGTACCTCTGTACAGCTTTTGCCTTGATATTAATGCACACACCCACCCACCCTCTCAAGGCCTGTTTCCCCTTCAGGGACCTCATCTCCCAGAAGGCCCGAGCCTGGCTCTATGCTCTGCACATGGCAGACCAGAGGGAATCATTCCAACTCATAGCTTCACTGGGATACTAGGATATAGCATAGCAGCGATTCATGCATTTTATTTCTAAAAACCAAAGCTCAAGTGAGGCCGAGCTGGTCACTGTGCAAGATGAACCAGCAGGACATTCTCACCTCGAATGAAAATCTGATTTATGTGTCGAGTGAATACCTGCTGGTAATCCACTTTGGGCTTTCGCTTTTTCTTACGGGGCTGGCCCCTGGAAAGGGTGGTGGCCCTGGAAAAGGTACCTCCCGCACTCGACCCCTCTGTCTGTGTAGTCCTCCCTGACAGCTCTGACCTGGACTCCTCCCTTGCCGATGCCTGCAGGGAAGAAGGGACGGAGCGGGAACGCTTGCGTGAACCCCGGTCAGTGTCTCCTCGTCCCCACACTGAAGCCACCTTCCAGGTGGATGTCTGGGAGTATCTGGACAGAGTGGAGTCTTCAACTGCAGACTTGGAATCTGTTTCCTTCTTGGAGGAATCCTGCAGTTTTAGTCGATCAAAGAGCTATAAGGAAAGCAATGACAAGTATTAGCCTTCCCTTTAGCTTACAATATCCCTCTTTCAATATGTAGAAGAAAGACTAGATTCCTTTATTATGCTCTGTGGACTGCTTGCTTTGCAATTTTTAAAAAGTTAGTGGGCTTCCCTGGTGGCACAGTGGTTGACAGTCCGCCTGCCAATGCAGGG